CTTCTCCTCCTCTCTCTCACTTCTTCATTCTCTCTCTCTCTCTCTCTCTCTCTCTCTCTCTATGAAAAATGAAAAACTCGAATCTCGCGATTTGTTACTTAACGAACAAACTTAAGCTTACACGGTATGTACAAGGCCGTTTTGTTTTTTTTTTTATTCTTGTTCGAGTCGACATCGAGCAATCGTTCCTGGCTATTTTCCTCTCCCTTTTCTTATCGCGTTGCGCCACACAAGATGACCCGTGGCCAACGGTCCACGATTCCTCCGAAACACCGAGTTCGATATTCGATATACGCGAGCAACGATATTTGCTCACCTAATCATCTTATCCCCTGTTACGCACACGTTATATGTATAATATTTATATATTATGTACGTGTCTCTCTCTCTCGCACAAGACGCCAAGTGTAGACGCTATAAATAATCCTTAAGCCTTAGAACCTTAACGGGAAATACAATAGTTGTGAATTAGACGTGAATTAGGCGGGATATAAAAATCGTCGTCATTCGTTCAACGTTGATATGGTCGTGGTACTTTCTTGCAACGATGATGCATTCACACTCCTCTATGTATATATAGCTTGCGGATTTTCGTGTCGATGGAAAAAAAAAAGGAAAAGAAAAAAAATACGACACTATATAGTATAGCGTATCTTACGAATATTCGATGTGCTGTGATCGATATATCTATCGTTTACACTGATATTGAATATTAAATATTGCGTTTACAGTCGTATAATATTTGTAGCGGATCGTACGTGATCAATCGTGTTAATTAAATCCGACGTTAGCAGTCATTGGAGCGGATCCCTTTCTCTTTTCTTTTTTTTTTTTTTTCTTTTTTTTCCTTTTCTTTTCTTTTGTGAGAAATAAATTATATTATATCCTTACCGACCTAATGGACGCGAGAGAATACCGCGGACACGAGTAATGGATCGGGCGGAATCGTCGATGGACTGGCGTGTCTGGGGACGATTGTTATTCACCAAACCGTGGTGTGGATAAAGCAACCGCGCGATTATTATCCCTGTCGAGGTAGACCCTCGATTTAGAGCCTCGTGGCGTCGTCGATCATCAAATCTAGAGACAACTGTCGACGACAATTTCACCTATTTTCGAGACGACCTCGTCGAACGTCGGTCTCTCCCTTGGGTCGTTGGCCCAACATTGAGCTTGAAGTTCTTGCAAAGCGGGCGGCGCGGCCTTGTGCGGCTTCCACGCGAGGGTTTGAGCTTTGAGCGCGGTCAACACCGACTCGTCGTTCATCTTGTTGAACGGCAACTCACCCTGATGGAACATCTCCCATACGAGGCAAGAGAACGAGTACACGTCGCTCTTGGTCGAATATTCGTCCTCGTAGACCGCCTCGTAGGGCAGCCATCTCAACGGGATCACTTGGTTTCGGTGCTTGGTGTATTCCTGTTGGTACGGTTCTTTGGTCATGCAGGGCAACGAGATCTTGATGGTCAGGTTGCTGGCGATCAGACAGTTTCGGGCGGCTATGTCCTTGTGGACGAGGCGGGTGTCGGCGAGGTGCTTCAACCCTTTGGCCGCCTGGTTGGACAGGGAGAGGATCTGCGCGACGGAGAGTTGGGGCGCTCGCGGTGGTTTCGACTCGTGCGTGGGGCTCGAGGTGTTGTCCTTGCGCGAGGCGATCAGGAATTGCTTGAGATCGCCCCAATCGGTGTACTCGAGGATCATGTAGTCCGGTTCCTCCTCGCGGCACAGACCGATCAGTTTCACCACGTTCTCGTGGTTCAACTTGTGGAGAAGATCCAGGTGACGTTTGAACTCTTGGAGAGCGATCTCGTCCTTGGTGTTGATCAAACTCTTCACCATCACCAGGCTCTCTTTGTCGCCGTCCGCTTGATACTTGGTCGAGTATACCTCGCCGAACTCGCCCCGGCCAAGCGGTTTCAATTCTTTCAAGTTGCCACGGGACACGGCGATCTTGTCGTAATTCGACTTGGACTTCTTGGACTGGTTGCTGCTCTGGCTCTGAGCCGTGTCCGCCCCGTCGCTCTTATTGTGGGAAGAGTCGCGATTCTCCTTTTTCTTATTCGCCGTCGAGTTCATCTTGCTGGAGCTGGTCTCTTTCAGCTCGGTCTGTTCCTCCTGGACCTCTCCGTTCTCCAGTTTTTCTGCGCGATCATGAATACATCGGATTATTTTCACTTACAACGGCGCGAAGTCTGAAACGGTTTCGTTCAGCGATCGGAGGAGATAGATACCTTCTGCCTGCTCTTGGAGATACTGCTGCTTCCTGCGACGACGTCGGTAACGACAGTACAGCATTAGACCCACTACCAACACCATATAGGCCGCGGCCGCGCTCAAAGTGATCGTGATCGTCTTCGTCATCATAGACCCGTTGTCACCCACTTCCAAATCCATGTCGAATCTGTACGTGTCACCGGCTGTGGAAACAGATCGTCGATATGTGTGTATCCTTTCGATCTCGATACTCTCTTGTCTTGTATTCTCACCCCGAGGGAATCGATGATCCTTTTGGGGAAAAGGATGACGGAGAGCCAGACCGCTTACTTACCTTTCACGTTCAACTGAACTTCTTCCCTCTTCAAACCGCCGCTGTTCCCGGCCGTGCATCCGTACTTTCCCTCGTCGCTCATGTACACCTCCTTTATATACAAACTTCCGTTCCCGAGCACCTCGAATCGAGAATTGTTCAGATTGTTCATTCGAGAGTCCCTGTCCCATTGGATGGTCGGTTTGGGATCACCTTCGGCCGCGCAGTGCAACATCACCGGGTATCCCTCGATCGCCTCAGTCGGATTTTGCGGTTGGATGGTAAACTTTGGCGCAACTGGAACAATCGATCGAGAGATTCAGGCTGAAAGATCGAAAGAAGAGGAATAGAGAGGAAGAGAGAGAGAGAGAGAGAGAGAGGAGGAGGAGGAGACACTACAC